CCACGCTGTTCACATTTAATAAAATAGGATCCACATTTATATCTGCCTTCTATACCTTTATCCTCATAATGATCTGATTTGCATATTGGGCATAAAGATTCATCTGTAATCCCATAATAATCATTGTTTCCATCTCTACCTTCCCAGTATAAATCAGGATATTGTTCTTCCATTTTGTTACGGAAATAGGCACGGTTATGAACCGGATTGGATGAAGTATTTACCTTATCTTCCTCACCTAAAAACTCGTCTTCATCATCATCCTCACTACCATCAGAGTTAGAATCTGAAAAGCCATCAAATACATTTACTATATCTTCCAAATTAGAGATTTGAGATGATGAGATAGAAGGAGTGGTTGTAATACTTATCTCGGCTTCTGATAAAGTTTCTTCGCATACTTTAGTTTCTGTATCAGATTCCGGTTGGCCATGTGCGCGTGAAGAATTCTTCACGCCGATCAATTTTTGAGATTCAAACGATGATACTTTCGCATCTAATTCTTTAGTATAAAGATTTATAATATTTTGAATTTGTGTACCGGTTAAACTAGAAATAGCATCAACACTGTATGTAATGTACTCAATTTTATCTTTTCCTATCCCGTTGAATAATGTATAGATAGTTCTAGCCTTTTGAGTCATCTTACGCAAATACACTCTCTTGATTCCAGGTAGATACTGCATCATTTCATTATAGATTTGCGTTCTTGCCATTTGATCACTAATATTTTTTTCTGAACTAAGATTCGAAACTTTTTTTTCATATCCCTCACTATAATAATACCATCGCAATTTTTCTTTTCATCCAGTTTTCTCGGCCTTGCCAAATAAATGAGCTAAATGAGGTACAGAACCTGGAGTTAGATCTATATCAACAGGAATGTCCGAAATTTGTTTAATGAAGATAGAATTCAATGGAGTTTTCTTTAGATTTTGTAAAGACATGGAATCGGTTCCTCTAATAAATTCAAATAACTCGTGTAATAAACCTTGTTCTACTTTCTGATTATAGGGAATTTTTATTTCGGAAGAAATGGTACCTGGTGCCTGATTAATAGGCGCTTCTGAAATATCCTGATTGATAGGCTTTTGCTCTGATTCAATAGAAGGAGTATCCTGAGAAGTTAGGAGTACCTCTTGAGTTCGCGAAGTGGAATCTTCGTTACTTTGTAATAATTTCTTTTCCTTGTTTCTCTCCCTAATCATATTACTATTCTTTTCCTTCCATTCCCGATCCAGAAAATCATTGATCTCCTTATCTTCTAACAATTTAGTCTCTGTGTGGATAGATGATGTAGAACATTGTGCTATCGACTTCTGACATACATCAGAATTAGACATGTTATCCGATCTATTTTCCATCTGTTTGGGAGTATTGTCAGAATTTATTTCAGAAGAAACGGTGTTCTGTGTCTGCTCTAAAGACTCGGAATCAATATCATTAGTTGAAGATTGTTTGTTATGCAAACTCCTCTCATTAGAGAGATCTTCGTTAGGTGATGAATTAGGTGAGATATTTTCAGTTGTGCTGGCTCTACCAATAGAAGACATCTCTTGCATATTAGTAATGACTTGAGTTTGCTGTTTGAGCTCCTCAAAATCGTGACTTAATTTCATTACTTTGGCTTTAAGCTCAACATTTTCAGCTTCACGTCTGACACTTTCTTCCATAGCATGTTCCAATTCGGCAATTCTAATCTCGAGCTCATATTTTTCTTTTGCAGTCTGTTCTAATTCTGTAATTCTAGCCACAAGTTTGGCATTCTCTTGTCTTAATAAATCTAATTCGGATTGCATGATCGATAATAATTTTTTTATATAATAAAAGGCATAGATTTATTCAAAATAAAAAAATCATGTGCGCGTGAAGATTCTTCACACCGATCACTTTTGCAAGAAAAAAATTCATGATTCCACGAATACCATTTCTTTGGTGTGTATTGAGCTTATTTTTTGACATCGAATGAGGGCCTACCTATCAGAGAAATTATGCAAATATTATGATTGGTAAAGGTAACGGATCGCCCATAGAAACGTTTAATTAATGTATGATGTTGTAGGAAAATCGTCTGAGATCGCCCATAGAGAATAAATTACTAATTTATCGATTGTAGTGTTTTGCATCTTTAACAGAATGATCCATTGAAACTACTAGTATTATAAAACAATGTGTATTTGCCATAAAGATTTATTATAAAACTGTTATCATGTCTCTTTCTAACCTCCAAATCTTCGCGCTGAATATTTTAAAAGAAACCAACCATACAATTGTCCAAAATATCGATGTTACTGAACTAGCACCATGCTCGGAATGTGATAAAAAAATTTTAACAGTTAGCTATGAACCATTTACAATCCTCGCATGTGGACACACATACCATAGATATTGTATTGAGAAAAAAATTTCACTTACAGATTCAAATATATGTCCTATTCCTGGTTGTAATAAATCTGTCGAGCCCATGGTCTCTGAACGAAGGTTTTCTCAACAATCATCTCAGTCAAGTACTTCATCGATAGTTAGGAGGATGAGTAATCTCAATACAGAAGTAATCCAAGAAGATGAGGAAATGGATGATGCGGATGATGATGCGGATGGATCGGTAGATACTCCAATCAAAAACTCTCCCAATCTTAGTAGTAAAAAGCGGGCTAGTGATTCCACCGAAAAATCATCCAGTAAAAAAGTTAAGAAACAGGTTAAGGACGAGGATTCTCGCATATTAAAAAGGCTTATCCAGGAATTGATCACAGATATCCCACGAATTTCTGAAGTTAAGGAAAGGGAAGCACTCCAAAGAGAATCCACACGAGGAAGCGAGAATAAGATTTTTTTCGATTTGTACTTAAAAATTTCTAATGCTGAAAAACAAAATGATAATGCGCGTCACGAACTAATAAGAAGTTATTACTACTTTGGGGAGGAATTAGAAAAACGTCTTACCCAGTATAAAGATCTGCCAGAACACGAAGCCCAGAAAAAGATTAATAATGAAGTTAGAGATCAGCTCCCAAAGGAGATTTCCAAACCTACAATTCGAAAGAAAACGGAAAGAGCTCGAAAGGTTTATGACCTTTTTTTCCGTATTAATGATGATAAAAATCAACGGATGGTATATATCCAACGAATAAAAACATTTACGGCATCATCTATTTCGAATTTAAGTTTGGACAATATCAAATATGTAGCATCTCAGGTTAGAAAGGATACTGGAACTTAAATTTTCTTTAATTATGTGATGTTATAAGGCAATCGTGACATTGGGTCACGGTCTACAACTTTGGCAATTTTTTATATCATATAAATAAAGTTTGATTAACCAATTGCATATAAATTTCCAAATGTGATAAATGATAAATGAGGCTGTGTAATGAAAGTTATTCTTATTTCAATGCGTGCTACCACCTGACCCTGCATGATTTATTTGTGTGATTAACCAAATTCGATTAATTACCTCATGTACATACTTTTTCTTTGTAAGGGAATTTTTTGGCGTAAATACATTCGCATTGCTTTATCTCTCTGCATTATTATTCATTCGATAGATCCAGAGGAAGATATAGAAGGAAAACGTTTAAAAGGGAAGTATATCGAGTTTATGGGCATTAATTGCCTTTTGATTTTTATTATCGTTAATTCAATTAATTCAAGATTTATATTTGAATTTAACTTAAACATGCCTACCGTATTATTTACCAAAATCTATAATTTCCTAACAACTGCTGAAGAAGGAGATATAACAGCGGGTTCCGTTATTTATTTAGCAATGAAAGAGAATCCGTGGGCGAGCGAAGGCGAATTAAGAAGTCTTATAGAACAAGCTGTAGCATCCGCTAATATTAATTATAACAGAGCTTCTTCACATTATGTGACTCTCTACTTGAAATTCTCTCAGAAGTAAGTCATTAAAGATATATCTATATTAATATTTTTGAATGATGAAGTGCAGAAGTGATACCTTCGAAAAAACAATCATGTCAGCTTAGGCATTCCATTTAGTCCCACGCCAGGAAATTCCTCACCGGGGGAGGAATGTTTAAGTTGAAAGCCTATGCTTGGTTTTATGTTGATAATTTAGTATCACACAAAGTTCTATCCGCGTGATGGAGTAGCTAACCTCACAAAGAGAGAGCTTTGGTTATAATCTGACAGCGCATGCGCCCTTTGAAATATTTCAGCATTAATTTGGAATTCCAAACTAACAATTTATATCTGCACTAGTTTAAAGTCTCTTACAAAATCGTTCGTAGTTTGAAAAATATCGGAGCAGTAACAATAGATGAGGAAATCCTTAATTCAGAAGAAATCTCGGAAAATATAATTAAGTTGAAGAGAAAATTGAAAAAAGACACATCGGCGCTATCTTTGGAATTGTATAGGAGAATTGGGGAGGTCACAGTTTCAGAACTTCCTTGGAATGACCCTCTGGCAAATCAAATTATTAGTGATGATTCAGATATTATACGTCTCTTGCCAGATGAATTGCGAAATATATTTATGGTTGGTATTATAAACTCGTAAGGTCTGATTTTCCCGGGAAGATAGGATCAGCACCAGATCGAATCTCCATATTATTTCATTGAATTACTCACAAAAAGCATTACAAAACATTAATTTATTAGGAACCGCTTCAGCGTATGACGCCCTCCCTTCCATCAATAGTGCAGAGGAAATGTAATGAATTTGTGCAAAATTTTACCGATGATATTGGATTCAGATTACCACAAAAGCTTTTACACGATGGGATGTGGAAGGAAACTAATGAAGAGCTTGCTAACGTTGCTGAAAGGATTCTAGATACATTGTGAGTATTCCAATCTGGATATATAAAATTATCGAGTTTTGGGAGTTCTGTTAAAAGAATATACTCATTAAATAATCTTATCATTAGGCACGATGCTTGGATAAACCCTGCATTTAGGTCCAATTTTGTAGAAAAATTAAATGAAGGTACTTATGTTACTAATATAATCTTGCCTGCAATTTGTGCCTCGTTAAAAGGTCTTCCTTTATGGAGATCTTCATTTCTTAGCAATTTTGAACGACAGAGTAGTGCCAGTGCAGATAGGAGAGGGGGTGGCCGATCAGGAAAGCGACCTGATATTATGTTCGTAATAAGACATAGGGATAAATACTATGAATTGGTCTACACTGAATGCTCACATTTATCGTGTACAGCGCAAAAAGAAAGTGATGATGGGGTAAAACTATGGAGAGAGGCAAACGATGGCATGTTTTGGGTCCGCAAAACTTGTAAACCTATCAAGAATGAATTTGGAATAATTGGAGTACAAATAGCGGGAAGAAAAATATATTTAAATGTTCTTATTAGGGATTTACATGGTGTGCATCGCTATTACCATCTCCATGAAGCAGAAATACCAGTCCAACATTCGACTTCATCTATGGTAGCAAACTTTGTGGAATCTTTATTAATTTTACGGAATATTCTGTTAGTTAATATTAGTTTGTTATATAATGCACCTCCATCTAATAAATCGAGTCGAAAAGAAGAAAGTAGTTCAACTGTCAGTTCCCCCTAAAAAATAGACAGTTGTTATCAAGTTGTCATATATATATATCTGTTTATTAATAAATTAGTCGATATATTTTTTGTACACATTTTTAATATGTGTAAGACGCGGAAAAGAAACTCAATGCATTATGAAGAAAACTAATTGTCATATTTTTTTTATGTACCTGGAAAGTTGATTCGCATGTATAATTGAATTTACTCTTACATTAATGATCACCAATTTTTCTGGAAAAAATAAGCTAATTAATTATTACACATATCCGATAATTTTCCACTACATGCTGAGAATATTTGAATCGAGATTATTCGCTTTGAGATATCTACATACCTCTTCATAGTCAAATACCGCTTTCGTATCTTGAGTATTTCTGTTTATGATAATTATATGTTCTCCTTCCATAACGTGCA